GGAGGAAAGTAGTAAGACTGCAGAAGGGGCTGGAGAGCCTGTGTCTCTGCCTCTGCGTCGCAGGGGAGACTTTTTATTTTGCGGAGTGCAGGTTTGGGGAAGATCAATGAGGAGTGAAATGGAAGGAGCACCAATGCAGAGAGCCAGGCTGGGCTGACTGAGCGTTCTTGTCTTACCCTTATCCTGAAAGACTGGAATGGACATTCAGGGCTCAGAAGACCTACCGTCTTACTTTCCTGTTCTTTCTGTGATGAAATGGTCAGGTTTGTTAAGTTCATGATAGAGGCAGGGAGTTGAAGCCAGGCGGTGAAGGCTTTTTGATGTCCCACAGAGGTGTTTGTGTTTGACCCCAGAGGCTGTAGGGAGCCACTGGGCTCTAAGGAGCAGGGGAGTGACTCGGTCAGACCCGGGCTTTAGGACTGGCCCTTTGGTGGCGTGTTAGTGTGAAGGGCGGGTCGGAGAAAGAACAGGCTGGAGGTCAACATCATGTTTACACCGATGGGAAGATACATTCCCAGTGGATAAACTACCAGAAGGAGTCTGGAAGGAGGTAACTTTCAGATTCGTGCTTTGGGAGAAATTCTGGTAAGAGAACAGACCAGGGGTAGAGATGACAGAAGACAGCAAAGACTGAGTTCTTCCTCCATCACTTACCAGCTGTGTGACCCAGGGCAGGTCACTGGATTTCTCCCCCTCAGCCTCCTTATCTGCATAGCTTCTTCCTCACAGGATTGCCCTAAGGATAACGTGAGTTGTGCAACACATGCAAAGCACTTTGAGAAACTAAAGAGAGCTCTGTAAATGTTAACTATTATTAAATTAGGCAATTGTGATTCTGTAAAATTAAAAAGCTTCTGTGTGAACAACAGTGTAACTAGGAGAGAAAATGTTGCCTGTGGGGTACCCTTCTTACCAAACCTTGCTGATAGGTGGCTGCTCATGCAGACCCATCACCATCTCGGGGGCTGCCTCCCCCACCCCTCCCCAGCTCTGCCTCTCAGAAGCCTTCATTTCCTTGTAAGCTTGATTCCGGCACCCCTCCTGATGCGAAGTCTTTCTTGGTCCCTTCAGCCGCCGGTGCCTGCCCTCCTCCAATTTCCATGTCTTTTCTCATAAGTATATTGCATATATTTACATAGGTTCATATTGTTTTCCCTTGTCATAGAAGAATTTGTGGGGGCAGCTAGGTGGCACAGTGAATAGAGCACCAGCCCTGAAGTCAGCAGGACCTGAGTTCAAATGCGGCCTCAGACCAAACACTCGACACCTACTAGCTGTGTGACCCTGGGCAAGTCACTTAACCCCAATTGCCTCACTAAAAAAAAAAAAAAGAATTTGTGGCTTAGCTTTCTTCCTACCATTTACTTAAAATGAGGACAGCCTGTAACTAGCTAGACTCTGCAAAATCAAGCAGAGACGACAGCTCTAGCCCCGGAGTTCACTGGTTAGTGCTGGAGATGCCAGCTAAAGCTCCGAGGTTACCCTAACACAGATCTTCCCTCCGCCACCTGTTCTTTGGTCTGTAAATCATTATCTCCCCTTACTTGTTCTTTGAAATTCCTTGGTAGCTATCCTGCTTAGGTAACCCAAGCCGATAAAAGGCTGTTTGCCCAGTGACGCCTGCGCTCTGAGCCTGATGAACAGTCTCTGCGTCTGGGCTGTGTGATCGGCAGCAGCTCCTGATCAGAGGATCCTTGGACCGTTTCTGTCACACCTCAAAGGCGGGGACTGCTGTACTTTGCCTTTGTGCCTGAGGCCCCATTTCCTTGTGCACCAGGAAGGTCATTCCACCTGGTCTCCTGTGTCTTCAGTCTCAAGTGCTTGTCCCTGGCCTCAGCTGTCTGTGGCCCAGAGAGGATTCTGCCTGAAGCCAGACCCCTGTGGACAATGAAAACTTACCTAAATACCTGCCCCCGACCCTTTTTACTGTGCCTCTGGAGTTCCTGTTCCACAAGCAACAAACTAGGTTTCACCTTAAAGTCTTCTCCATTCTTTCCTGGCTCTCATAGAGACCTCTGCCCCCTCTAGATGACACCACCTCCTGGCCACCCTTTCTAGCACTGGCTGTGCCTTCAGCCAAACTCCAAATCACTGTTCTGGGTGGTGGCTACGGCAGGCAGTGGTGGTGGTGGTGGCAGTGGGCAGTCGTGGTGGGGTGGTGGTGGGCAGTGGTGGTGGTGGTGGCAGTAGCTGTGGTGGTGGTGGGGTAGTGGCAGTGGTGGTGGTGGCAGTAGCCAAGGTGGTGGTGGGGTGGTGGGCAGTGGTGGTGGTGGTGGGTAGCTGTGGTGGTGGTAGTGGTGGTGGCAGCGGTGGGCAGTGGTGGTGGGGTGGTGGCAGTGGGCAGTGGTGGTGGTGGCAGCGGGCAGTGGGGGTAGTGGGGTGGTGGCAGTGGCCGAGGTCGTGGTAGTTGGATTTCTCTTGGCTCCTCATTGCCACTTTCAGGCTCTCCCTCTACCATCATTACTCAGTAACCTCTCCTCCCTTGAGGAGGAGCCGTCGTTTGCCCACTGCTTGCATTCCCTGGCTCAGGCACAGGCTCACCCTTTCGCTGCTCCCCAGCTCCTGCCCTCCTGCTGAGGGATGCCAGCACGCACCCTGACGCTCCATTCCTCACCCTCCGTGATGGCCTCCTCCACCCCACCTCAGTCACACCCACGATGGTCATGGTGTGATCTTGCTGTCACCTGCCAGTGCACCGCGTCCCTGCTCACAAACTGAAATCCCCTCACCTGACCTGGAATCTGATGTCATTCCACTTTTCCCTCCTTGCAACCCCCGGCACATTTCTGTCCACACTTGTAATTGGCTTCCAATCTGCCGTTCTCCAACATTGGCTGCACTCTTCTCCTTCCCCATCTTGGCCCCTAGTGAGCCAGTTCAGCCCTACACCCTCCTTGTGAATCCCTCCCCTGTCCCCATCCCAGCTGATCCCCAGTTGTGACTCACTCTCACCATCACCTGTCTTCCCTCCTGCAAATGTATTGCTGAATGAAGCCATGGGGAAGACCATCACAGAACCGTTCTAACTGGGTTCCCTACAAACTTGTTACACCACCTCCAGAGCCCTCACTGCTGCCGGGCGGTCCTGCTCCGCCTCCCTTATCAGCTCACTCTTCCCCACTCCACAGCAGCCCTTCCCAACCTTCTCATCCCTCCTCAAGCCTCGGTGGCTCTCTTTCCCCCACCCTCTCAGCTGACAAGCTGGCCTCGTTCCAGTGAAAGACTTGAGGCCGTTGGCTGAGGACTTCCCCTTCCTCCTCCTCCATATCTTCTCTCCCCCACATGCTCCTTCTTCCCCCTGCCTCCTCCCTTCTGCTATCCTGTCTCACTTACAGAAGTGGACCTTCTCCTGACCATGGTCAACCACTCCACATGCACAAATTCTCTTATTCTGGACTGTGGACCCCACAGCAGAGTGCCCCCTCTATTATGCCCACTCTCATTTATCTTCAGTCTCTCCCTGTCTGCTGCCTACAAACATGCCCATGTCTCCCCTGTCTTCTAAAACCTCCTCACTTGATCCTGGGTCCTATCATCTCCTATCTCTCCTCCCTAAACTTGTCTACAGTAGGCCTCTCACTCTCCTGTCTGAAGTCTGACGTCATTCCCTAAACTGCTCTCTCCAAGCATAACAGTGACCTCTTAATTGCTAAGTCCTATGGCCTTTTTTCAGATCTCATCCTTCTTGACCTCTTGGCTTTCTCCTGATTCTCCTCCTGCCTCTCTGACTACTCTGCTGAGAACACCCAGATCCAACCTGCCACGCGGGGCTGCCTCTTCTCCCTCTAGCCTACGTCACCTAATGAGCTCATCAGCTCCTAGGGATTCAATTATCTCTATGCTGATGGTTCTTAAGTCTACCCCTCTCTGCTTTCCTCCAGACTTGCATCTCCAATTGTATGTCCCATAGACAGCTTAAACTAAATGTGTCCAAAAAGGCACTCATTATCTTACCCCCCTCCAAACTTATTATTGTAGAGGGCACCTCCATCCTCCCAGTTCCCTGGGTATGATCCTCTACTCCCATCACTGCTCCCATCCCAGATCCAATGTGGTGCCAAGAGTTGTCGATTTCACCTTGGCAGCATCCTTCCTGTGCCCCTGCCCCCATCCTGATGCAGGCCTTCATCTCCTCACGCCTGGACCCCAGCAGTAGCCTGCCTCATGGCTGTGCCCGCTCGAGCCCGACCTCCATTCAGCTGTGGGTTACCTTCCTAAATCATGTCCACCCTCTGCTCAGTAAGCTCCATCAAATGCTCTGTCAAAGCCCTTCTTAACTGAGTGCCCCCCTCCCTTTCCAGCCTTTTTACACCTTATTCTCCACCACGTCCTCCCCAGTCCAGTGACCCTGGGCTCCTGACTGTTCCATGAACAAGACCCTCCATCCCTCAGGCATTTTCTTGGGCTGTTTGGAGCACTCCACCTCCTCTTCTCTGACCATTGACTTCCTGGCTTCCTGTAAGTCCCAGTTAAAATCCCATCTTTCACAGGAAGTTTTCCCCATACCCTGTTACTTCTAGTCTGTTAATGATTTCCCATTTCTCCTATGCACAGCTTGCTTGTATATCTTTGTTTACATGCTGTCTCCCCCGTTAGACTGCAAGCTCTTGGGCGGCCAGGGCTGTCTTTTGCCTCTTTTCGTATCCCCAGCACTTAGCCTGACACACACTAAGTGCCTAACAAATGTTTGTTGATTGGCTGATTGATTGATTATAGTTTTGGAGAGTTGAGCATTTTAGTGTCCAGGGTTGTAAGGCTAGTATGCCTTAGAGATGGGACTTGCCTTCAGGACTGGCTCCATATCTACTCCACAGCTTCTCACCTCACACTCAGTAGGCACTTAATAGATGCTAGTGGATTAATTGATTTTGACAAGTGTAGTCATTTGCTACCAATAGGTAAAACCTGCCTCTCCTCCTCCACGGTCCATGGGCAGTCACACCTGAGCCCCCTTCCCCCATTCCCCAGTACAGAGCTGTCTCCTTTCCTCCTGTGGGCAGGGCTGTTGGAGGACAAACCAGACCTGGTCTCCCGGCTGGAACAAGGGGAAGAGGCATGGGCCTCGGACATGCAGGAAGAGGGCCCCAGGAGCCCCTGTCCCTGGGGAGGAGACCCTTCCGCCAGGTGTCGAGGAGCCCGTGGATGCCACAGCCCCTCTGGGCCGTCAGGTATGGCCTTCTCTGAAGTGTGGGGAGGGTCCCCAGGGCAGGTGCTGCTGGGGATTTACCCACCACCTCCCTGGTCTGCGAGGGTTGAGAAGTCCAAGGCCTGAGGCTGATGGAGACATCGCTCTGTGTCTTCTCAGTGCACACACGGGACAACTCGGTGTGTCCTGGAGTGTTCACGTACCCCCTCGTCCTCAGTTTTCTAATTGGTAAAATGAGAGGCCTTTAAAAATAATCTCTGAATGCTGTTCTGCCTCTCAGAGGTCCCTGCCACCACTGCCTGTCAGCATTTCTAAAGCCCAAGGCTCACCAGGTCACACCCTGCTCAGTGAGCTGCTGGCTTCCTGGGGTCTTTAGGATGCCATGACTTCTCTGTGACATGAAGGCCTTTCCCCAGATCTCACACGTCCCTCCTTGTCATGCCCTCTTCAGGCCAGCCGCACTGGCCTTCCTGCTGCTCCTCCCCCCAGGGTCACATTGCCATGCCTTTGCACACAGCTGTACCCCATGCCTGGGATGCCCTCCCTCTTCCCCTATGCCCCCTAGGAGCCCCGATTTCTCAGCTCATGTGCCACCTCCTACCCAAGGCTCAGCCAGATGCCCCAGCTGCTGGTAGTTAATGCTTTCTATCCCTGAAATTATTTGGATTTGCTTTGTATATTTTTATATATGTGCATGTTATCTCCCCAATAGAATGTCAACTTTTTGAGAAAAAAAAGAAAGGAGGAAGAAAAATGAAAACCTTCATTGAGCAGAGAAGTCATCAATATGTTGACTTCGGGGGCAACTTTCATCGGAGCATGTGCAAGCATCTGGGGTCATGGGATTATGATGAATATGGGAATCACTCTCATAGTTACATACTCCTTAATCGGTATCATAGAACCCAACCCTGTGACTTGAGAAGTGGACAGGATTTCCCGAAGAACTCATTTCTCATTCAAAACCAGAGAATTCGTGCTCAAGAGAAATCTTATAAATGTGGAAAGGCTTTCATGAACTACTCAACCATTATAAACTATGAAAGAAATCATGATGGAGGGAAACATAAATGTAGCCAATGTGGAAAATCCTTTAGATGGCTGTCAGTTCTTACTGAGCACGAGAAAATTCACACTTGTGAGAAATCCTATGACTGTAAGGAATTTGGGGAGGTCTTCAGCCAAAATTCAGACTTTATTGGACACGAAAGAATTCATAGTGGAAAGAAACCATATGATTGCAAGCAGCGCGGAACAGCCTTCAGTTGGCGTTCATACCTCATGGAACATCAGAGAATTCATACTGGTGAGAAACCTTATAAATGTAAGGAATGTGGAAAGGCTTTCAGGCAGAGCTCAAGTCTTACTAAACATCAGAGAAGTCACACTGGTGAAAAGCCTTATGAATGTAACGAATGTGGGAAGGCCTTTAGCCAGAGCTCATCCCTTAGTCAACACTTTAGAATTCATACTGGAGAGAAACCTTATAAATGTAAAGAATGTGAGAAGGTCTTCAGACAGAACTCACATCTTATTCGACATCAGCTAATTCACACTAGAAAGAAACCTTATGAATACAAGGAAATTGGTGTGATTGTTAGCCAATGTTCAGACATTGTTAAATGTGAAATAAATTATGATGGAGAGATATATCGAAGTCAAACTGGTGAGAATCATTATGAATGTAAGGAATGTGGCAAAACCTTCAGCGAGAGCTCAAGCCTTAATAAACACCAGAGAATTCACACTGGAGAAAAGCCATATAAATGCAAGGAATGTGGGAATGCCTTCAGGCAGAACTCACATCTTATTGGCATCAGAAAATTCACACTAGAAAGAAACCTTGTTCAAGTCAAGTCAGCAAGCATTTATTAAGTGTGTACTATGTGCCAGGTACCGTGCTAACTGCTAGGAATACAAAGGAAGAAAGAAAAAACATTCCCTGCTGTCAAGGAGCTCCCAGTCTAATGGGGAAGAAAATATTAATGCAAGGAATGTGGGGAGACATTTAGCCAGAGATCAGACATTATTAAACATGAAAGAATCCATAGTGGAAAGAAGTCACATAGGTTTAAGGAATGTGGGCCAATTGGAACTCATACCTCATTAAACACAGGATAATTCACAATGTGGAGGAATCTTATGAATGTAAGGACTGTGGGAAGACCTCTAGTCAGGGCTCCACCCTTATTCATCATCAGATAGTTCACACTAGAGAGAATTCTTATAAATGTAAAGAGTTAGAGAAGGCCTGCCAGAACACAGTTCTTACCCAACAATAGAGAGTCCACACTGGAGAGATCCCTTTAGAATGCCAGGAATTAGCTCTTGATCAGCATCAAAGAATTCATTACTTACAATCTAATACAATAAACATGTAATAAGTGCCTACTGTATGCCAGGCACTGTTCTAAGCACTGGGGATACAAAAAGAGGTAAAAGAAAGTCCCTGCCCTCAAGGAGCTTACAATCTAATGGGGGTGACAACAGGCAAGCAAACATATACAAAGCAAGCTCTATACAAGATAAATGGGAAGTAATTAAAAGAGGGAAGGCACTGGAATTAAGAGAGATTGGGAAGGGCTTCCAGTAGGAGGTGGGATTTTAGTTGGGACTTAAAGGAAGCCAGGGAGGTCAGTAGTCAGGAGGAGAGAGAGCAGTCCAGGCCTGGAGCACAGCCAGAGAACACACCTGGAGCTGAGAGGTGGAGGATTGTTCAGAGAATATCAAGAAGCCAGTATCCCTGGATCAGAATGTGGTGGGGAGTAAGGCATAAGAAGATTGGACAGGTTATGAAGGAACTCATACCTCACACCTGGTCGTGGAGGCCATAGGAAACCACTGGGATTCTTTGAGTATGGGGTGGTGTGATGAGACCTGTACTTTAGGAAGAACCCTTTGGTGAATGCAGGGAGGGTGGACTGGAGTGGGGAGGGACTTGAGGCAGGCAGACACCCCCCCCCACACCAGCATCCATTGCAGATACTCCAGGTATGAGGTGATGAAGGCCCGTACCAGGAGGGAGAGGGGTAGCAGCACCAGAGAAGGGACATACTCAGATGTTTCAAAGGTAAAAGCAACAGGCCTTGAGAGGTAGGGAAGAGTCCAGGATGACTCCTAGTTTGGGAGCCTGAGCAACCAGGAGGATGGTGTTGAGCTCTATAATAATGGGGAAGGTAGGAGTGGGGGAAAGATAAAGAATTCTGCTTTGGACATGTTGAGGTTATGATGTCAAGATGTCAGAAAGGCAGTTGGAGATGTGAGATTGGAGGTCAGCAGAGAGGGAGAGCAAAGGTTGATTTGAAAATGATTGGCATAAAAATGGCAATTAAATCCATGGGAGCTGATCAGATCACCAGAGAGAGAAGAGAAGAGGGCCCAGGACAGAACCCTGAGGGCCGTCTATGGTGAGAGGGCATGACCTGGAGGAGGATCTAGCAAAGGAAGCAGAGCAGGAAGCAGTGGTCAGAGTGGGAGGAGAGCCAGGAGAGAGAGTGGCGTCCTATCAAGGAGTAAGGGGCGATCACAGCTGCAGGGAGGCCAAGGAGAATGTGGATTTAGACTAGGCCACTGCGTTTAGCAACTGAAAGATCATGAGTAACTTTGGAGACAGCAGTTTCAGTGGAATGTTAAGTTTGGAAGCCTGCTTATAGGGGGCTAAGAAGAGAGTGAGACAAAAGCAGGTGGAGACACCAGTTATAGATGGCCTTTTCTAGGAGTTTAGCTACAAAGGGCAGAAGAGACAGGATGATATTTAGCAGGGATGGGAGATCAAGCGAGGGTATTTTCAGCATAGGGAAAACATGGGCATGTTTGTAGGCATTTAGGAAATGAGTCAGTAGAGAGGGAGAGACTGAAAATAAGTGAGAAAGAAGGGATGACAGCAGAAGGAGAAAACTGAGGAGATGGGATTCAATGGCATCACTTGAACCAGGTTAGGAGTAAGACCACTTCATCACAGGAGACAAGAGTGAAGGAGGAGAAAGTGGCAGAACACACCTGAGTGACGGAAGATGAGGAGAGGGAGCTTACAGCAAACGGCCTCATTGTTTTCTATGAAATATGAAATGAGGTTTCCCACTGAGAAAGCAGGGAGGGAGAGCTATGGTAGGTTTGAGGTTGGAAGATCCACTTTGGGGGGTGGGCAAGTGAGCAGATAAGGGAGCTATGGAGTAGGATTGCCTAGCAGCAGCGAGGGCCCAGTGAAGGCCCAGTGAAGGGTGTATAACATCAATTTGTAAAGGACCCAGTCAGAGTGGTCGTGTGATTCTTTCCCACCTTGTCCAGCAGCTGTGTGTAGGAATAAAAAGAATGAATGGTGGAAGTGATCCAAGGCAGAGGCTTGGCTGGAAATAATCAAGGGGGCTAGGGATTCAAGAGAGGAGGACACTATAGAGTTTAACTGGTTCATCGGGAGTCGAAATGGGGAGGAGAGGAGTGTCTAGTACAGGGAAGAGAAGTTTCGGGATCAAGGGACTGGAAATTACTGTGTGAATAGAGAGTAGAGTTACGTAAGGGAAGGCAGAGGAAGAGGTGAAAGGCAGTAGATTACGGTCAGATGAGGGGATTTCAGAATTCTTGGCCATCGAGGTGGTCCATTTGTGAGTGATGGCAAGATCCATCTTTGTGTGTGGCTCGGGTCGGGTGGAGGGGTAGCTCGTGGAAGGTGACTAGGTTGAGAAAGTGAGTGATGAGAGTGTTTGAGGGAGATCCTTGTGGATGTGGAAGTCGCCTAATATGAGGGCAGGAGTTTGGGAGGAGAGGAAAAATTATAAGCCAGGTGCTGATCTCATTGAAAAATGACCTAAGGTTCTGTAGACAGCTCCCAGGATTTTAAGTGGGTGGTAGCGATGAATAGCATGAGCCTTAAGGGAGGAGGTTACTGAGTGATGGAGGAAGGGGGAGAACCTGGAAGTGGCAAAGGGGAGCAAGGAGGATTTTGACTTCCCCACCTCGCCCAGTGAGCTAAGGAGAGTGAGTGAAGGGACAGCCAGGGCTGGAGAGGGAGGCCTGGAGGGTTGGGTCATCAGAGGGGAGCCAGGTCTCAGAGCTAGAAGACGGGTGGAGTGGGAGAGGAGAAGATGTAAGATGAATGGAAGCATGCTGCCCAGGGAGGAGGCATTTCAGAGAGAACGATGGAAGGGATAGCTGGAGTTAGGTTGAAACTTTGGAGTGGGAGGGTTGAGGGGGATGGGCATGGGAAATCAGGTGAGGGGGTGAGGAGTGGGGTTTGGTGATTATCCACAGGAATTCAGAGTCACTGGGAGGTGTGACCAGGTGTGAGAACTGTCGTCATTGAGCGGAGGGCCCCGCCCTGCTCCCCTCAAAGGAGCTGGGAGGCCTGGAGCCAGGGAGGGCTGCCTTTCTCTGCCCTGGAAGTTCTCCACCTTGCAGTTGGAAGACTGGGCTGGAGCAGGAGGTGGAAGAGACTGAGCCTGGCCCCAACTGCCCAGCAGATGGAAGGCTCTGGGCACGAGGGGACCTGTGTTCTGAGCTCTTCTCATCCCGCAAACTTGGGCCCAAGCAGTGAAGGGATGGACACTGGATGAAAATGAGGATTTTGAAGTGCTTCTGCAGTGGGTATAGCAGCTGTGGCCCTTGTGTTCTGTGAAATCCCCAGCCCGTGCTCCCCATCGCAGTCCTTCACCTCATTTCTCCTCTCTAGGTTCTCCTCATTCTCTTCCTACCTCCCAGTCCTTCTCAGTCTGCTTTGCTGTCTCTTTATCCAGCTCACTCTTGCTCAGTGTGGCTGTCCCCAGGGCTCTCTCCTCAGTCTTCTTTTCTCCTTCTTTGCTATTTCACTGGAGAAAAACCTTACCAATGTGAGAAGTGGGAAGGCCTTCATGCAGAAGTCAGTCACTATGAGATATATTAATAATGGAGAGAAACCTTACGAATATAAGGTATGTGGGGCAGTGTTCAGCCAGCTCTCAGCCCTAGTGAACATAAAGAAGTGATACTCAAGAGAAAATTTGAGTTTAAGTAATTAGAGGAAGGGGTAGCTAGGTGGTGCAGTGGATAGAGCACTGGGCCTGGAGGCAGGAAGACCTGAGTTCAAATCCAGCTTCAGATACTTGACTAGCTGTGTGACCCTGGGCAAGTCTTCACCCTGTTTGCCTCAGTTTCCTCATCTGCAAAATGAGCTGGAGAAGGAAATGGGAAAGCACTCCAGCACCTTTGCCAAGAAAACCCCAAGTGGGGTCACAACTAAAATGACTGAACAATGACCATGTTGCTTGTTTCTGCCTCCCCTTGATCTTCACAGACATTGTTCCCATGTCCCCCCTGCCCTTCACTGGTTCCTAGATGTCCTTGTGTGAACATACCATGCTTAATATATACCTCTCTTGTTTCTACTTCCTTCTTTTTGAAAAGGGCCATATTTTAGTAATAGAATATCCGTCTCCTGGTCTCCTGAGTCTCAGTGAGACTGGAGAGCTCAAATTCTCTTCTCCGCATTAGGGTCTCACCCTGGTTACAAACTTTGCCCATTGATATAGGCGTCTGAGCTCAGGGGTTTTGGCTCCTGGTTTCTGTTTTGTGTTTCTGGGTATCTTTCCTTCCTAGGTTGCAGCTGCTGTCTAGGATATCTGACTTGATAGACCCACATGGCAATTTTCTCCCACCCCCTCCCTTGTCTGTTTAGATTCCATGGATTGGATATAGAAGACTAAAGGTAAATGCCTTCTTGCCCTTCCCTAAAAGTAGGGGTGATTAAAGGTTGGGGAGCCTAGGGTGACAGAGGGTGACTTCTATTATGTCTTTGTGAAAAAAGAAGGAAAAAAAAGGGCGTCTCTTTTCACAATCACTGCTGCTAAGGGAGGAATCCGTAAGCAAACAAAGAACAGAGAAGAGCATAAGAGAGAAAACAAGGAGGAAACCAAACTACTGCATTTTGCCGATGGTGTGAGGATTTCCTTTGGAAATTCTAAAGAGTTGATCCCAAAATTACCTGAAAAAATTCATAAATGCAGCATTAATAAATGCAGGAGGTAAAAAGACTCAGCTAAATCATCAGCATTTCTGTACGTTACCCATAAAACCCAGCAAGAACAGCTAGGAAGAAACTCCTTTCAAAACAACTGCAGGAGCTGTCAGCTATTTGGGGTGTATGTACTAAGATATATCCGAGATCAATATGAATACACAATGATAAAATGCTCTTTGAAGAAATAAAGGCATCTAAATAATTAGAGAAAATCCATTGTTCGTGGGGGTATGAAGCCAATATAAAATGGCAATAGGACATAAATTAATTTACTTATTTGATGTTGTACCAGCTAACTACCAAAAGGCATTTTATGATGCTAGGGAAAATAATAATGAAATTTATGTGGAGGAGCAAAAGGTCAAGAATCTCAATAGTAGTACTGAAAAATAAGTGATAAAGAAGGGGATCTATGGGGCAGCTAGGTGGCACAGTGGATAAAGTACCGACCTTGAAGTCAGGAGGTCCTGAGTTCAAATCTGACCTCAGAGGAAACACTTGACGCTATCTGTATGACCCTGGGCAAGTCACTTAACCCCAATTGTCTAAAAAAAAAAAAGGGGGGGGTCTATCAGTACCAGATCTCAAACTATACCACACAACAGTAATGATTAAAAGAATTCGGCCCAGTCTTTGGTCCTTCACTGAGAGAGGCCATTGACCTCATTTACTAGTCACCGCTACCCTAACTTAATAAGTTGATCATGCTCAGAACCCTATCTTTGAGTTTCCCTTGACTTTCACATGTAACAGTGCTCCGTGTAAACCAATATTCTCTCACCAATTCACTGGCCTGTGAGTGCAGAGGTGATGGGCAGTGGGAGGAGAATAACCCAGAAGGTGATTGGTGTCATTTGGATGCAGGAAATTCTCCACTCCAAGGGGCCTTGCTAAATGTAAGAATATGATTATATTTTTAATACTGATATTACTGAATATGATGCTGAATGAGTGTCCAGCGCACTCTACAAGTGCCGATTGAGGAAAGAAGGCTCGCCTTCAAGCAGCCTACATTCTACCTCAGGTTTCCTTTAGCTCTTTCAAGGATGGAAGGAGTTAGGAAGGAACTGGGCAAAGTCAGTAATGTGCTAAAATGGTGGTAAAGCAGTCATGCTTCTAGAGGATGTCCCATGAGCAAGATCACCAGAAGACCCAAGAGGAAGGCTGGTGAGGACAGGGCTTGGGAATAATTTTCTGCTCATTCATCTCTATATTGAGCACAGAAGTAAGGAGAACAGTGGGTGCCGAGAATCAGTCTATCAACCAGCCAGGTCTAGAGATGAGGGAGCGTCATCCAATGTCCATCTTTTTTCACTGCTTGGGCCCAAGTTTGTAGGATGAGAAGAGCTCAGAATGCAGGTGTGCTCGTACCCAGAGCCTTCCATCTGCTCGGCAGTTGGGGCCAGGCCCGGCATCTTCCACCTCCTGCTCCAGCCCTGTCTTCCACATATGAGGTGGCAAACTTCCAGGGCAGAGAAAGGGATGGGATAATAATAAAATAAAATAATACTTTTGTACCAGTTATAAAATAGAAAAATTGAAACAGATTAGTCCAACATCCAGAAGCAAGCAAACAGTAGCGCAGTGTTAAGTAAGCCCAAAGACCATGATTACTGGGGAAGGACTCACTATTTCCCCAAACTGCTGTCTTTCTTATTCTTTTATTTGTATTGTATTGCATTATTGCATTAGCTTCATGATGGCAGGCTTGCATGGCCTCTAGATAATAGATGATGCTCTCATACTTTTCCAGGCATTAGTGGAGTGAAGCAAAGCTGTGAGTTTGTTCCCATGCTTTTTGGCATGATGTTTTGTGTGATGTTGTCAGACACCTTAAATGAGGATGGAAACAGTATCAAGGTCAGCTGCTGCATTGATGGAAAAGCCTACAAGCCAAGACTAAAGAGGAAGAGTCGATGTACGACTTTCTGTTCACAGATGACTGCATATTCAATGCAGCCGCTGAGGCTGAGATGCAAAAAGGTATGGATCAATTCTCTGCTGCTTGTGCTAATTTTGGCCTAATAATTAGCACCAAGAAAACAGAGTTTCTCCACCAGCCAGCACTACACCATCCATACGTGGAACCACCAGTTACAGCAAATGGAGAAATTTTGGATACTGTAAGTTCACTTACCTTGACAGTATACTTTCCAAGGACGTCCACAATTAGAGGTTCCCAAAGTGGGCAATACCATCCCCTGGAGAGTGGAATGATCCAGGGGAGTCTTGAATAAAAATAAGGGGGTGGTGGAAGCATAAGGAAAGAAGAGAAGAAAATTTTGAAAAACTGTTCATACATGTTTCATCTGTAGTACAACAGTTAGTTGTAGTGAGTACATTATTTTCCAAATAAACACACACAATGCAAGTTATAACTGATAAGTGGTCAAGCCTACGTACAGGTCTTGACAAGCAAGTGTTGGCAGGTGAGCTTGTCACGCATTTTTGGGAAGTCCAGCATGCATTGGTAGGAATATGTGCTTGTAATGACTTGTTTACAATATGATACTATACAGTTACATGATGCAATATTGCATCAAAATTTCAATGCAGGAACCCCCCCACACACACACAAATTTACAATAATTAAATTTAAGGTGTGTCATTTCAAAAAATTCTTTTTAAAATTATGCAAATTTCAAAAAACCATTAAAGGGTTAAAGAAGGATTTCCAGGGGAGGCACTGAGTAAATTTTTTTTTTTTTATAAAAGGGAAGTAGGCCAGATAAGTTTGGGAACCTCTGACATAAATTATGAGGTTTATATATGCATTGCCAAAGCTAGCTCAGTGTTTGGGAGGCTCCCAAGGAAAGTGTGAGAGAGAAGAGGTATTAGACTGCTTACCACACTGAAGGTCTACAGAGCCGTTGTACTGACCTCACTGGTGTATGCCTGTGAAACCTGGACAGTCTACCAGCGCCGTGCCAGGAAACTGAATCACCTCCATTTGAATTGTCTTAGAAAGATTCTGAAGATTACCTGGCAAGATAAATAAGGTCCTAGACACTGAGGTCCTTTCTCCAGCTGAACTGCCAAGCATTCAAACTCTTCTGCAGAGAGCGCAATATTGATGGGCTGGTCATGTTATTCAAACACCAAACAGACATTTGCCTAAAAGACTATTTTACAGAGCAAGGCAAGCACCCACGTGGTCGTCAGAAGAAGTGATACAAGGACACTCTCCAGGTCCCTCTGAAGAACTTTGGAATTGATTGGGAGACATGGGAGACACGGGCAAAGGACCGCCCAGCATGGGGTGCCCTCATCAGAGAAGGCGCTGTGCTCTATGAGCAAAGCAGAATGAATGAGATGCACAAATCTAGAGGCACCTCCGCTCCAAATGTTCACATAGCCTATTTGTGCTGGACCTGTGGTAGAGCCTTCCAAGCTCTTGCTGGTCTGATGAGCCACAGTTGGACACATTGCACCTGGACTCCCACATAGCGAAGTCACTTTGGTTCTCTGAAAACAAAGGACAACCACTATTTGCATTGCTGGTGCTCAGTACAGTGCCTGACACAGAGTAAATGCTAAACAAATACTTCTTGATTTGGCCTGATATTCATGTATATCAGTAACTATATACATACTGAGGGTTCTTGCTCAAATTTTTTAACTGATAGTTAAATAGCCAGAGCGGACTGTGGTCCCACAAAATTAAAAAAAATGAATGGGTGAAAGAGAAATGAATTATTATTTTATTCTAGAGTTAAAGGGGAAGCTTATTGAGTAGCTGGTCCTAACACTTTTGTTGATGAGCACGCACTAGCATATTTCCCCAAGAGCAAATCAGCTACTAACATTCAATCAACTTTAAACAAAATATTTAACAAAAAGTAAAGCAAATATGTATTTGCATAATATCCAGCCCATACTTTTGGATCACACTCTCCCACACAAAGCATGCAGTGTCCATGAGAGACAGCAGACACTCCTGTGAAGTCCCTGACTAGTCAGGCTCAGCGCAGGAAATTCATGGAGTCTGGGAAACCAACAGCTTTAGAATTGTAAACGTTGTTATCATCTTTCTGTCCCAGAAACTGTCCACACGAGTTTTTTGCTGGGCATGCATCCATTGCTAAGCTGAGCTGACCCATGTCGTGCTGGACCGGTGCTTCCCTGGGCACAGCGTCTCAGCGGGAAGTGCCAACCTGCTGAGCTCCTTTCACGATGCTCGCCTCTGCTATTCCTCCGCTTCCCCGGGCTCACTCCTCCATACCGACCCCTAGCATCTGTCGTTTTCAGGGTCAGCCTCAGCCGAAGTAAGAAAAGGCAGCACCGTTCTGCTGACTTAGGGCCAAGGGCCTCCCGGGCTCCGCACCTCCGGGCATCCCAGGGGGCCGAGGAAGAGCGCAGGCTCGTCACTTATCTCTCCCCTCGGCAGCAGGGGCGGTGGAGAGCGGGGCAGAGCACCCCGGCCCCTGCGCAGGTGACGGATGGAGGGAAGGCTCTCCCCTCCCCTCTCATCGTCCCCAGCTTCAGGGGGCAGCCAAAAGAGAGCCCCAGGCTCCTTCTGGGAATGAAGAGGCGGTGGAGGGAGATGGAAGAGACCTCACATTATCTGATGATTATCAACCAAATTCTGTTTTCAGCACTAAGCCTTGGGTCCCCTAATCAAGAAGCAGCTCCGGGATCCACATTTCCCTGAGCTGTTAACTTCAAATGCTAACGAACCTCTGGGGGCGGATGCTGAACCCTCCTCCTGTCCATCGAGTCTCAGAAGCGATGCCCCCAACCTCCAGACACCAGGCTTGTGCTCATTCATTCCAGCAGCAGCAGATGCGGGTCGACCCCCCATCCTCCAGGCACCGGGCTTGTCCCCATTCATTCCGCAGGCGGCGGCAGCAGATGCGGGGCACACCACGCCACCTGCCCGCTCCCATTCTGTGTAAAGTCCATCCGTATTCTAGATAAAAGCGTGCTTCACCATACCCCCCCCCCCCCGTACTCCCCAAAAGGGGCGGGAGGGGCAGCTCTTTCTGAGGCCCCCGGGCTGCGGGCGGCGCACGGCTCGTGCTCAATGACGGGCCGGCGCGGGGGTCAAAGGGGGCGTTCCTGAGAGGCAGGGGAGCGCCCCTGACCCCTCATTGAGAAAGGTGGAGCCCAAATCCCGGCGGGGAGGAAGGCGGGGAAACAGGGCGAGGGGATGCGCCCCGCCCCTCCGCAGCCCCCAAGTCCACCGGCTCTTCTACGCCACGCCTTCCTCACCGTCCCGACCAATAGCGCGCCTCCAAGGCCGAGCACAGACCAATGGGGGGGTCGCCTCTCAGGCTTCCCCCTGAGCCGGGCTCCCCGTGTGGGGGACGTCCGACCTGCACAGATCCATACAAACACACCGGTTCTGTGGCAGTGACACACACGCCCCTCTCAGTCACACGCGTGTCCACGGACACACGCAGAGGGAAATGACACACCGGAGGACGAGGAGGCGAGGGGCGCATGCGCGCCCGAGGCCTCGCCCCTTAAGCCGCCCGATCCCTCCGGGCCAGGTCGCATAGCGTGGGTCTGCGCTTGCGCACGGAGCTGTCCGACGGGGGTTCCCAGAGGCCTCCGCGTGCATCTCTGCCTTTGTACCCGGCCGCGGGCCGAGCTCCGGGCGCGCAGGCGCAGATCCACCGGGGCGAGCGAGCGCGAAGCCGCCGCGGCGGGAGCTTCCAGAACTGCGAGAGGGCGCGGAGGTGCGTGACGTCACGGGCCCGCGGGGAGGGGGAGGTGTGTGTGACGTCACGGGCCCCGGGGGCGGGGAGGCAGAGGGGGTGTGGGGTTTTGTCATTGTGTCTGTGTATCCGTGTGTGTCTTTGTGTGCACGCGAGCGTGATGTGACTGGGATGCATCGCGTGTGTGTGTGTGTGTGTGTGCCCACTGGTGTGGCGTGGACTTGGTGATGTGTCCGAGGGTGGGTTGTGTGTCACCGTGGGTTGTGTAGAGGTGTGTATGTGTGTGAGACCTGGGTGCCTGGGGGGGGGGTCCTGTCCCCAGGGCTGCGTCTGTCACTGGGGCGGGGGACAGGGGCCCCTGGGAGCACCGCGGACCTGGGTTCAAGTCCTGCCTCTGACCCACCCACCCCACTCTCGCTGAGCCTGTGAATGGCCATGGAGGGGCCCCAGCTGCCCCGGCAGAGGGAGTTTCCTCCCTGGGACTTCCCTGTCCTACAGACCCCCGCCCCCGGCCCCTCCCCCAAGACTGCCTAGCTGTCCCGGGGGCTTGGGGGAGGGGCGTGGGTGTGGAGGGGGCAGGGAGCCTTCCTTCAGACTTGTCACTGGTCAGTGTGCCCCCTGGCATCCCTAAGAAGTGGGGAAGCTCACTCCCTGTTTCAGGAAGTGCTTCCACTGCTCAGCCCAGGCCGGCCCGCCCATGGGCACTGGGTGTCCTGGGGGAGCATCTGGACCCTCTGGAGCAGAGCTCCTTAACCACATGTGTGTGTGCGTGCACATATGTGCACTAGGTGTGAGTGTGCGTTGTGTGTGCATGTGTGTGCACTAGGTATGTATTGTGTGTGCATGTATGTATGCATGCACGTGTATGTGTGCACTAGGTATGAGTGTGCCGTGTGTGCATGTGTGTATGCATGTGTCTGTGTATGCACTAGGTATATAAGTGCATTATGTGTGTGCATAAAGATATGTATGTGCACACTAGGTGTAAGTGTGCATTGTATGTGCATGTTTGTATGCATGCATGTGTATGTGTGCTCACTAGGTGTAAATGAGCATTGTGTGTGTGTAGACAGATGTGTGTGGTGGGGCCCTTGGGTAGCCAGGACCATTTCTGTGAATGCCTGCAACACACCACGCCTTGGCCTGGGCCCGGGCCCTTGGGTCTCTATAGCCCCTCCCCAGAGTTCCCATTGAGGAGATCCCCTGTTGGCCCCACTGAGCCGGCCTGCCCACACTCCCCAGACAAGCCAACTTTCCCCTTCTGCTGGTGGAGGCAGCAGGGGGACCCTGGGAATAGAGAGGGTCCCCTTCCTCCACTTGGGGCTCCCAGGGACCCCGCCTCCTCCCCAGGCTGGGGCCCCCTCTCCCATTTCCCCCTTCCATTTCTCCCTTCCCCCTTCTTGGGTTCCCAGCCCTTCAGCTCAGCTAGGGCCTCCCTTGGCTCACTTCCAAATCCACCCAGTGCCCCCACGTCTCCCCCATCCTCACCCTGTCCCCTCACTGCCAGTTTGCTGCCTCATCTCGGGGCTCCCGGGTGCCCGGTGACAGCCCTCTTGCCTCTTTACCCCCACAGTGACACCCCGAAGTCCTCCCCCTGAGGAGAGCTCCTGCCTCCTGCACTCTGTAATACTTTATTATTTTGTTTTTTCAATTAATCCATTTCTCATCTTTCCCCCACCCCACCCCCCACCCATGACCAAAGTAAAATGAAAAAACACCCTCAGGCCGCTCCGTATTTTGAGCAAAGAGACAAGATTCTGTGGGGGAGGGTCCTGTTTCCTCCTCATCCTGCTTGGTCAGAGCTCCATGGTCAGTATCTGACCTGGACAGAATGCACCTGCATGGGTCATGATGCCTGCCCCCGGAGTCTCTCTGTTCTGAGGAGCCTGGCACTGGGGATGCCAGGGCTCTGTGATGTGTGTGTATGTGTGTTAACACATTTGTGTATGTGTGTTTACATGTGTATGTATATGTGTGTCTGTTTACACATTTGTGTGTTTGTATGTTTAGATTTATGTGTATGTATATGTATGTGTATGTGTTTACACATTTGTGTATGTTTGTGTGCGTGTGTGTGTGTGTGTGTGTGTGTGTAAGGCCTGGGAGGTGGGTCACTACCCGGCAGGCAGCTGGTCCTTGCCAGGCCGGCAGGGGCTGAAGGCTGGTTCTTTCCCTGACAGAGGCTCCTCTCTCCACCCTCAGGTCTCAGGTCTCATGGCTCTGAATCTCCTTCTTCCCCATGAGGGAAGCCCGGAGGAGGATGGCGGGTCCCCCAGGGGCCCCTTGGCCCCAGACCAGGTAAGTCGGGGTCTCCTCCTGCCCCAGGACTGTCCTCCGGGCTCCCAGACCGCTCTTTGCTGCCCCTGAGTCCTCAGGGAATTCTTAAAGTTGGTGGTCAGTCATGAGAATTACCATAGACTAGGCTGGCCAGCCCCTGGGCTGCAGGCCTGGCTCAGAGGCCTCCTTCCCTGAGGTCATCTGGTCCAGCCTCCAAGAAGAGGGTTCCAGCAGAGCCTGCAGACTACCCGCTGCCTCCCCAGTTTGCTGTAGGGCATAGGGCCCCCACCCCCCAGATCCACTTCCTCACCATCGGAGGCCCTTCTCCCCAGGGCTCCCAGGGCCATGTCTGGGCTGAGAGGAGTGTAGATGGACAGCTGGAAGGGTTCTTGGAGGGCATCTGGTTCAAGCCCTTGGTTTTAGGGTTAGGAAACCGAGGCACAAAGCCTTGCCCACAAAGGCCCACCTGCCTTCCCCCCCCTCTCCCGGGGTCCAGTGCCCCCCGGGCCAGCACGCCTGTGTTTGGTGTTGCAGGAAGTGGTGTCGTTCAGGGACGTGGCTGTGGACTTTACCGAGGAGGAGTGGGAGTGCCTGAGCCCTGCTCAGTGGCAGCTCTACAAGGAGGTGATGCTGGAGAACTACAGGAACCTGGTGTCCCTGGGTAAGGCTGCCTCCCCTGGGCCCAGGGTTGGGGGGTGTCTCTTCTGGTCCGGGGCTCCAGGATGGTGTGGCCTCTGGCCTCTCTTTCCTGTCGCCACAGACCCAGCAGAGGCTGCCTGGGCCCAGGGCTCCCTGGTCCTCTGGGGGGAGGGAGACGTGGCTCTTCCCTGGCTGTTGGTGCTGCCGAGGCTGTTGGGGAGACCCTGCGGTGGTCTCAGAGTTGGAAGGGACCCCGGAGGCCACTGATTCCTGCCTATGCCTGAAGGGAATCCCCATGAAAGCCTGTGGTCCTCCGCCTCTGCTTAAAGAGCTCCATGCCTGAGTCCTTCCACCCATCCTTGTGTGGCCTGGGCTCCTGGTGGCCCTTCTCTGGGTGGCCACGCCCCCTCTTCTCAATGTCCTTCTTAAGCCACGGCCCCCAAGACTGACCCCAGTCCTCCAGGTGAGGTCTGCTGAGGGCAGAGTGTGTCCAGGGGTCCGTCCCCTCCCCTTCCTGGAAGCGCCCCCTCTCTCAATGTAGCCCAAGGTCTCATGAACACTTTTGGCAGCCATGGTCATGGTGCACCTCCAACTCCTCTCAAGCTGACAGGCCCCTCAGATCCCTAGATCTTCAAAACAGCTGGGAAATGCTTTCTGCAGAAGGTGGTCTTTGAGGTTAGTTTTGAAATACTAATGAAGAAGCAGGAGTCAGAGGAGAGGATGTTCCAAGCATGAGGGATAAATGAGACAGACACAGAGGAGGGAGGGAAGGAGGAAGGAAGGAGAAGAGAGGGAGGGAGAGAAAGAGAGAGTGAGAAAGAGAAAAAGAGGGGGGGAAGGGAGACAGATGGAGGAGGAAGAGAGACAAGGGGGAGAAAAAGAGAAGGAGAGAGAAACACAGACAGAAGGGAGTCAGATGGAAGGTGGGGTACTGACTAGGAGAAAGGGGGGGAGAGACAGACAGACAGACAAGGAGTGAGCTCCAGCCAACGCCTGTGTACTCCAAGACTCCATCACTTCTCTGGCATTCATTGTGTTCCAGACTCTTCTGCTTCTTCCTTCTCTCCAGGTGGTCTATAGTATATTCTACAGTGATCAAAGTGCTTGCTTCTCCATCCATTGAGCTTTGCCCAAATACTCCCTCGTGTTTCCCTGCTCTGCTTCTTGGAGGTCCCAACATGACTCTACTTTCTAAGTGTGTGATGTGACCCCATCCCACTTTTTCTGTCTCCTGTTACTTTTGAATAAGGGAACCCTCTCCCGATCTGTGATCCAGGCCACAGTCCCTTCCCACCGAACCTCAGTGCCAGGGTCACTTTGCCTCCTGTCAGAACCTCTGCACCCCCCTGGGGGCTTCTTGCTCCAATTGAGGGGCAGAGGGGAGATGCTTTGGGTCCTGTGTTATATTTTCTTATGCCTGGATAGCCTTCTCTTTCCCTCATTGTTTTTAGTTGAAGACCCTTTTGATTAAATCTGCTCGACAGCAGGCCAGCCGTAGCCATTCTCCCCAGGCTTTGCCATTGTCTCCACCACCCTGTTCCTGTAGGCCATGGCCCCAGAGGCCCCTTCGTAGGCAGCAGGGGACTTCCCAAAATGATTGTTCTCTTTTTCTCCCACATTTTCAATGGGAACAGTGTGCTAAATAACGTCACTCTGTGTGTGCGCACAGCGCGGTCTTCAGTGCTCTTGGGGGTGGCCTCTGGCATTGGCGCCCCTGGGGAGCACCAGCCGAGCCCCTTGGGAGAGTCTTGGGAGGGCCTCGGCACCCCCTGGGTTGTCCAGGGGACAGAAGGACGCTGCCTCGGTGCCCCAGCAGAGGATCACTAACTGCTCCCCCTCTTCTCTCCCTCCCTGGTCCTGGCTGGATGATCTCTCCCCTGTGGATTCGGTGGGCCTACTCTGTCATTCTTTGAAGGACCAGCAGCTTCTTCCCCAGAGCTTCTGGAGTCAGGAGGACCTGAGTTCAAATCTGGCCTCAGACCCTTCCTAGCTGGGTGACCCTGGGCAGGTCATTAAACCTCATCTGTGAAATGGGGATAACAGCTGCTACCCCCCAGGGTTATCGTGAGGATAAAATGAGATCAGACTTTAAGGTGCTCTGCTAACTTGGAAGCATTCACCCGAGTGCTAGTTAGTAGTGGTAGTAGTGGTGAAAATCACCGTCATCATCATCTGCTTCCAGGAGAGCTCACACCGTTTCTAAACTCTAGTTGTGCAGCTCTCCTTTCAGCACTCTGCAGCCACTCTCCAGCTTCCTTCAGGGCCGTGTCTCCCCTGCTCCACCTTAGATGCCCTTCCCCCACCAAAGCTGCCATTTTGTTTCCTTTATTAACAGCCTGGACTTGAGGCGCCTTCACCGCAAAGGAGAGGTGTCCAAAAGTCCGGCTCCCTGGCCTCTGCTCTGAGGTGTGGGGCACGTTTGTGGAATGTCAGACGTTGTCCGTGGCTTGGTTAGTTTTGCTGAAATGTTTTTTCCTTTTTTTTGAGGTGAGGGAGTGGGCGGATGAGTAAGGAAATGTATTTAGTACAAAAACAAGAGATGTCAACCAAATGTATCTTCAGGAAGATACCAAGGAGAGAGATGAGTGCCCCTCCCCCGCCTGCTGAGGCGGGGCGGGGCTGCGGAGCACCGCGTGCACGGCCAAGTTCAGCGGATGTGGGGCTGTTCCAATGAACCTCCCCCCTTTTTTATTCTTTGTTAAGATGGATGGCTCTCTGGGAAGGCTGGGAGTCGGAGGTTGGGAAATGCAGGTGACAGAAAACAAACCTCCCGAACAGGGGAGGAAGGATTTGTGGAGCAGCCTGGAGAGCTCTTCAGTGTTGTTGTGCTTTAGTTTTCAGCGTTCACTTTTATAAGATGTGGAGTTCCACATTCTGCCCCCCACCTCCCCTCCATCCTCCCTGAGATGGCAAGCAATCTGATATAGGCTCTACATGTAGAATCATATTAAACTTACTTCCACATTAGTCACGTTGTAAAAGAAGAATCAGAATAAAAGGGAAAAGACATGAGAAAGAAAAAAAAAGAGCAGATAGGATGCTTGGATCTGCATTCAAACTCCATAGTTCTTTCTCTGGATGTGAATGGCATTTTCCATCATTAGGCCTTTGGAGATGTCTTAGATCCTTGCATTGCTGAGAAGGGCTACGTCTGTCAATGTTAGTCATCACACAACATGGCTGTTGCTGTGTATGAACGTTCTCCTGGTTCTGCCCTCTTCACTCAGCATTAGTCCATACAAGTCTTTCCAGGTTTTTCTAAAGTCGGTCTGCTCATCATTTCTTGTAGCACAGTAGTATCCGTTACATTCATATCCCACAACTTGTTCAGCCATTCCCCAATGGATGGGCATCCCCTCAATCTGGAAAGCCCTTTGTAAACCAGTTAAACTGTGGCAACAGAAAGACCACCACGGAACAGGAACATAGGTTCCTTTGGGGGGAACAATGGGGATACATAATAACGATAATGATAGTGAAAGCTCACCTCTATAGTGCTCTGAGGTTTGAAAGGCGCTTTACAAATGCTGTCTCATCTGATCCTCACAACTCTGGCAGGTAGGTGCAGTTATGGTCCCCATTTTACAGATGAGAAAACTGAGGCAGGCAGAGGTTGTGACTTCCTCAGGATCACACAGCTTATAGTGCCTGAGGCAGGATTTGAACTTAAGTCTTCCTGACTTCAGGTCCAGTGCTGTATATGTAACAGTTGTTTGTGGGCAGGCACCAGACTGCTGGGGTCATCCTTCTTGACTTCTCTGCTGCCTTGGACATTGGAGATCACCCTCTCTAGGTTTTCAGGACCTCCTCACTTTCTCTCCTCCCTTTTCTCCACTCTCTAAGTCTGTCTGTCTGTCTTTCCTTCTCCCTCCCCCCCGTCCCTGTCCCTCTCCGTCCCTCCTCTCTCTCTCCTTCCCCCTCTCCATCCCCTTTGTCTCTCTCTCTCTCCCTCTCTGTCCTCTGTCCCTTCCTCCTCTCCCTCCCCCCCATGCCTCTCCATCTCTCTCTCTCTCTCTCTCTCTCTCTCTCTCTCTCTCTCTCTCTCTCTCTCTCTCTCTCTCTCTCTCCCTCTCCCTCCCTCTCTCCCTCCCTCCTCTCTGTCTCTTTCTCTCTCCTCCTCCTCCCCCCTCCTCTTCCCCCTCTCCCTTGGCTGGATCTTGAGCCCGATCTTGCCTGTTAACCACGGTTGTCCCCCAAGGCTCCGTCCCTGACCGTGGAGTCTTTTTCTCTTGGTGAACTCCTGGGCTCCTTTGAATTCCACGATCATCTCTATGCAGACGATCGTCCAGCCTTAACTTCTTTCCTCGCCTTCAGTCTGTTTCTGCTGCCTAGCGGACATCTCCAGCTGGAAGTCTCATAGACATTTCAGCCCAACTTGTCCAAAATCGAACTCGCTCCCTTTCCTCCCCAATCCTTTCCTCTTCCCCGCCTCGAGGTCACTCTCAGCGCCTCCCAGTCTATCCTCTCTATGTCCTCAGAGTCTCTGTACGCGCCTCCCCCTGGCCCTCTATCCAGACTATTGCAATAGTCGGTGGCTCGCTCTCCCTGAGAGAGTCTCTGCCCCCCGCCCCCCGCCCTGATCTTCCAAAGCGCAGGGAAGGCCGCTCACTCTCATTCGGTGGCTCTAGCACCTGCCACCCCCAGGATCCGATGCATTCAGAGCCCCTCCTGACCTGCCCGCTCTTCCCTTCCCGGTCACGCCTCAAGCGCATCCAACCCCCAGGCCGGACTCTGCCCCCTACGCCTAGAACGTCTCCCTCCTCACTCCCCTGACTCCCTTCAAGCCTCAGCGAAAGTCCCGCGTTCTGCCAGAAGTAATGATAGCTCTCTCCCGCTGCGCTGTCCCCAAGGACTCTCTGTATGAAGCCGTTACGGTCCCGGGGCTCCTCGAGCAGGGCTTGTTTTCTCTTTCTTTGTACCTCCAGAGGCTGACCGACCAACTGGCAGACTGCCCAGAACGGGTGGTGTTTCCAAAACGGGAGGCAAGAGGCGATGGCCTCTGGCCGCTGGCCGGGCAGCCGGGGCAGGGGGCCTGCGCGCAGTCCTGGGGGTGGGAGCCGGCTCTAGGACAGGGCCTGTGGCTGCTAGATGGAGGGCTGGTGCCTCGGGGAGAACTCGCAGAGAAGGAAGAGGAAGCATGAATGGAGGTTAGGAAATTAGTGGTAATTGGGGAGGACTGTTTCAGTTGGATGACGAAGTTGGAAGCCAGAGAGAGGCGAGGAAGAGGAGCGCACGGCCTTCCCACGGAGGTCAGCTCCAAAAGGGAAGAGAGATTGGAAACATACAGTGATGGAGAGAGAGACACACACAGAGACTGAGAGAGAGACAAACAGAGATAGACCGACAGAGACAGAGAAACAGAGAGAGACTTAACTGAGACAGAGAAACACAGAGACTGAGAGACTCAATACACACACACACTGACAGAGAGAAAAAGAGAGAGAGATTCGATTTACACCGAGGAGGAAAACAAGTTCTTGCTGGACAAAGCAGCGTGCAGCAGCAGGCCAGACTGGAAGGGGCACCTTGTAGATTTGTGCTTTGGGGAAATGCATAGTCAGAAATAACTACATAAGGGGTACAGGCAATCACACCTGGTGGGGCAGTGGGCGGAGCACTGGGCCTGGAGGGAGGCAGGAAGACCTGAGTTCAAATCCAGCCTGAGACACTCTGCCTGGGTGACCCTGGGCAAGTCTCTTACCCTCTGTCTGCCTCAGCTTCCTGATCTGTGCAATGGGCCCATCAGTGGCACCTTCCTCCCAGGATTGTTTTGAGGATAAAATGAGTCAGTATATATAAAGCACTTTGCAAAACTTAAAAGAGTTATATAAACGTAAACTGTTATTAAATTAGGCCATTGTGAGTCCATAGAAAGCTTCTGTGTGAACAACAGTGTAACTAGAAGACAAAATATTGATTTGGGGGATACCCTTCTTACCAAACTTTGCTGATAAGTGGCTGCTCATGTAGACCCATCGCCATCTCAGGGGCCACCTCCCCCGGCCCCTCCCCAGCTCTGCCTCTCAGAAGCCTTCGTGTGCCCGCTGCCCCTCCCAACACGAAGTCTTTCTTGGTCCCGTCAGCTGCGGGTGCCTCAACTTTTGTGTGTGTACATAGGCACTTGGCACAGCTCAGTAGGAAGCGAAGGGATGACTGGCCCAGGCCCCCCCTTAGCTGGAGGCTCTGGAAGGCTCTCTATTCCCCATTCAGAGGAGGGGCTGAGGGCAGGATGAGGTGTGAGTTGCAGAGCAGAAAGGACCCTGCTAGAGAACTCCAGAGGAAGGCTTAATTGTGGATTAACTGATTCAGACGTTGACTTTAGCCAGTTGCTACAAATAGGTAAAATAGGGCTCTTCAGTGGTGCCATACTACATAGAGCATTGGGCCTGGAGTCAGAAGACCTCAGTTCAAATGTGCCTTCAGATACTAACTGCGTGACCCTGCACAAGTCACTTAACCCTTTTTGCCTCAGTTTCCTCATCTGAAGAAGGAAATGAAAGATCAGTATCTTTGCCAAGAATACCCCACACGGGGTCATGAAGAGTCGGACACGGCTGAAACAACTCAAAAACTAATAGGTAAAACCTGCCTCTCCTCTTCCACCGTCCATGGACAGTCACAGCTGAGCCCCCTTCCCCCATCCCCCAGTACAGAGCTGTCTCCTTTCCTCCCATGGGCAGGGCTGTTGGAGGACAAACCAGACCTGGTCTCCCGGCTGGAACAAGGGGAAGAGGCATGGGCCTCGGACATGCAGGAAGAGGGCCCCAGGAGCCCCCGTCCCTGGGGAGGAGACCCTTCCTCCAGGTGTCGAGGAGCCCGTGGATGCCACAGCCCCTCTGGGCCCTCAGGTATGGCCTTCTCTGAAGTGTGGGGTGGTGCAGGTGGGGTCTGGAGGGTCTCCAGGGCAGGTGCTGCTGGGGATTTACCCACCACCTCCCTGGTCTGCGAGGGTCGGGAAGTCCAAGGCCTGAGGCTGACGGAGACATCACTCTGTGTCTTCTGAGTACACACACGGGATAACTCAGTGTGTGCCCTGGAGTGTTCACGTGCCCCCTCATCCTCAGTTTTCTAATTGGTAAAATGAGAGGCCTTTAAAAATGATCTCTGAATGCTGTTCTGCTTCTCAGAGGTCCCTGCCACCACTGCCTGTCAGCATTTCTAAAGCCCAAGGCTCACCAGGTCACACCCTGCTCAGTGAGCTGCTGGCTTCCTGGGGTCTTTAGGATGCCATGACTTCTCTGTGACATGAAGGCCTTTCCCCAGATCTCACACGTCCCTCCTTGTCATGCCCTCTTCGGGCCAGCCGCACTGGCCTTCCTGCTGCTCCTCCCCCCAGGGTCACATTGCCATGCCTTTGCACACAGCTGTACCCCATGCCTGGGATGCCCTCCCTCTTCCCCTGTGCCTCCTAGGAGCCCTGATTCCTCAGCTCATGTGCCACCTCCTACCCAAGACTCAGCCAGATGCCCCAGTTGCCAGGGTCTACCCCACCTCCCCAGACAGCTTGGTATATTTGTCCACATGTGCGTGTTCTCTTCCCATGGAGTGTAAGTTCTTGGGGGTCAGGGACCATTTCCCTTCTGGTTTTGTGTCCCTGTGCTGGCACAGCGTGGGCCCTCAAAACGGGCTTGTCAGTCAGTTGAGTGACTGGGCGATCGGTGGCAGCCAGGGTCATACCCTCCTTCTGTGATGAGCTGACCTGGCTGCCTCCCACAGTGTACTTTCCCCCCTCCCTTGGGGGGCTCCTCCTGCCCACTGGGCCAGCTCCCTCTGACCAGCCCCCTTGCCACGTCTCTCTCATCACTTTCTAAATGGAAAGGGCCCATGCAACGGCTCTCCTCATCAGTCCCATTGGCCATCCCTTCATCCTCATCCCAGGGCAGACTGCTCCTTCTCCATGTAGTCAGCCACGTGGCTCAGTGGGGAGGGCACAGAGGTAGGGGTCAGCAGGCCAGGCCTGAGGCCTGGTCCCAGCCCTGGGACTAACCTGTCATGGCCACATTGGCCACCTCTTAACCTCAGCTTCTTCATCCCCAGAAAGAGAGGCTGCCCCTGGGTCAGTGAGGACACAGCAGACTGTCAGGGGCCTCAGAGGTCCACCCCAGAGTCCCCCTGGAAGACCCCAGTGAGGGCCACTCCCTGCTTCCTTCCTCAGGCAGCCCATTCACATTCTGGAGGCCTGAGCTGCTCCAAAGGTTTTCCATGTTTATAGGAAGGCAGGATTTGCCTCTTGGAACGTCTACCCATTGTCCTTATTTCTGTCTTTGGTGGCCAAGAAGACAAACTCTAATCCAGGGGTGGGGAACCTGGGCCTCAGGACCATATGTGGTCCTCTAGGTCCTCAAGTGCGGCTGTTTGACTGAATCCAAACTTCATAGAACAAATCCCCTTCAGAAAAGGATTTGTTCTGTAAAACTTGGACTTGGTCAAAAGGCCGAACTCAAGGACCTAGAAGGCCACGTGTGACCTGGAGGCCACAGGGTTCCCTGCCTCTGGGAATCCTTCATCCACATGGCTGGGCCTCAGATACTCAAAGACAGCTGCCGTGTCTTCTGTCCTTCAGACTAAATGTCCCTAGAGCTTTCAAGCTATGAATGAAGGAATGAGAAGCCTTTATTTAATGCTTAATATGTGCCCAATACTGTGCTAGGTCCTGGGAATACATACTAAAGGGAGACAGCCTGCCCTCATTCAAACATGTGGCCCTTCTCTGTCCTGGTGTCCCTCCTCAGGACCCACTCCTGGTCACCAATGCCCTTCCTCAAATGTGATTTCTTCAATTGAACCTCAAACTTCCAGTGTGGTCTGACCGTGGTCAGATACAGTGGGACTATGTCCTCCCTCTGCATGTCCTGTGCTTGCATTACCTCCAGAGGCTGCCAGTTTTCTGTGGGCTAGTGAGAGTCACGATTCTAATAAGGGTTGGACCAGCTCTCTGAGGTCACCTACAATTTAAACACAAATTATTTTCATTCTCACTATCTTTCAGCCTGGGATACTAGAACTGAGAGCCAGGAGGAGTCACTTCATGAAGAAGAACAAGGAACATCAGAAACATTAATGGAAAGCCCCAGAAGGGATGTTGTTCCCCAGATCCCTGAATTTTGGGAAGGTCCTATTCAGGAGATCACATTATGGAAGCAAATAGGAAACCTTGCAGGAGAGACTACAAGGAAAGAATTTTGGGAATGGCCTGTTCAAGACATCTCATTATGGAAACAAATGGGAAATCTTACAGAGGAGACTCCAAAGAAAGTATTTTGGGAGGGTCCTGTCCAAGACATCACATTATGGAAACAAATGGAAAATATTGCAGGGGAAACTCCAAGGAAAGAATTTTGGGAGTATCCTATTCAAGATACCATGTTATGGAAGCAAATGGGAAACCTTGCACAGGAGGGTCCAAGGAAAGTATTTTGGGAGGGTCCTGCCCAAGAGATCACATTATGGAAGCAAATGGGACACCGTGCAGGAGAGACTCCAAGGAAAGTCCTTCCCCAGGAAACAGGTTTCTGCGACCCAACTGTCCTCCCTAAGAAAAATCCCACTGAGCAGGGAAGCCGTGAATGTACTGACTTTGGTAAAAGCTTTAATCAGAACATTCCCAAGCACAAAGGATCATGGGATTATAATCAGTGTGGGAATCTCTCCCATTACTATACACTCTTTAATCAATATCAGAGAAATGAACCCTGTGATTTGGAAGGTGGACAGGATTTTAGCAAGAACTCATTTCTTATTCAAAATCAGAGAATCTGTTCAGAAGAGAATCCTTATAAATGTGAAGAATGTGGGAAGGCTTTCACCAACTATTCAGACATTATCAATCATGAAAGAACTCATGGTGGAGAGAAACATTATAAGTATAGGCAATGTGGAGCAGCTTTTATGTGGAGCTCAGTTCTTACTGAACACCAGAAAATTAAAATTTGTGATAAACCCTGTGAATATAAGGAGTTTAAGGAGGTCTTCAGCCAGAATTCAGACATTACTAAATATGAAGGAATTAGTAGTGGAAAGAAACCATCTGAGTATAGTGACTGTGGGACAGCCTTTATTTGGCATTCAAACCTCATGGGACGTCAGAGAATTCTCACTAGTGAGAAACCTTATGAATGTAAGGTATGTGGGAAAGCCTTCAGCCAGAACTCATCCCTTACTCAACACTTCAGAATTCATACTGGAGAGAAACCTTATAAATGTAAGGAGTGTGGCAAGGCCTTCAGGCAGAATTCACATCTTATTCGACATCAGCTAATTCACACTAGAGAGAAACCTTATGAATGCCAGGAATGTGGAAAGCCCTTCAATCAGAGCTCAGATATCATATATCATGGAAGAAATCATGATGGAGGAATTTATTATAAGTGCAGGCAATGTGGAAAGGCCTTTACATGGAGTGCCATTCTTACCGAACAACAGAAAATTCACACTTTTGAGAAATCCTATAAATATAAGGAATTTGGAATGGCCTTCAGCCAAAGCTCAGGCATTATTAAATATGAAGGAATTCATAGCGGAAAGAAACCATTTGAGTGTAAAGACTGTGGGGCAGCTTTCAGTTGGCACTCAAACCTTTTGGAACATCAGAGAACTCACACAGGTGAGAAACCTTATGAATGTAAGGTATGTGGGAAAGCCTTCAGTCAGAGCTCTTCCCTTACTCAACACTTCAGAATTCATACTGGAGAGAAACCTTATAAATGTAAGGAGTGTGGCAAGGCCTTCAGGCAGAATTCACATCTTATTCGACATCAGCTAATTCACACTAGAGAGAAACCTTATGAATGCAAGGAATGTGGAAAGGCCTTTAGCCAGAGCTCAGACATTATTAAACATGAAAGAATACACAGTGGAAAGAAACCATATGAGTGTAAGGAATGTGGGGCAGCCTTCAGTTGGCGCTCATACCTCATTCAACATCAGAGAACTCACACTGTTGAGAAACCTTATGAATGTAAGGAATGTGGGAAAGCCTTTAGCCAGAGCTCATCCCTTATTCAACATCATCGAATTCATACTGGTGAGAAACCTTATGAATGTAAGGAATGTGGGAAGGCCTTTAGCCAGAGATCGTCCCTTATTCAACATCATCGAATTCATACTGGAGAGAAACCTTACAAATGTAAGGATTGTGGGGCAGTCTTCAGTGGGCACTCAGGCCTTATCCAACATGAGAGGATTCACACTGGTGAGAAACCTTATGAATGTAAAGAATGTGGGAAAGCCTTTAGGCAGAGCTCTGCCCTCATACATCATCAGATAATTCATACTGGAGAAAAACCTTACAAATGTAAAGACTGTGGGAAGGCATTTCGCTGGAATGCAGTTTTTACTGAACATCAGAAAATCCACACTGGAGAGATACCTTATGAATGTAAGGAATGTGGCAAGGCCTTCATCCAGAGAGCAGCTCTTACCCATCATCAGAGAATTCATACCGGAGAGAAGCCTTACAGATGTAAGCAATGTGGGAAGGCCTTCATCCAGAGATCATCCCTTACTCATCATCAGAGAACTCATACTGGAGAGAAGCCTTACAAATGTAAGCAGTGTGGGAAGGCTTTTATCCAGAGATCAGACCTCACTCGACATCACATAATTCATACTGGAGAGAAACCTTATGAATGAAGGAATGTGGGACAGCCTCCATCCAGACCTTAGCCCTTATTAAACCTCAATAAAATCATATTGGAGAAAAAACACTGAATGTAAGGAATGAGGGAAAGACTTCAGTTGGGTCTCAGCCCTTAAAGGATGTGAATTAACTCATGGTACATACTGGCATACATGGTGCAGTTGTTTTACGGAAGCATCCTTTTTAGTTCAACTGAAAATATTAAGAAATAATATTTCTTTCAGTCAAAAATCCTTTCAAGACTTTTACCTTTAGAAAAGTAGCTAAGGTCTTAGGAATAGGGATTAAGGATAGTAACCAAACTTAGAACTGAGACATCCCTGTTGTCTAGTTGTGACCCTTGCCTTCCCCACCCCTGAAGTGACTGATGCTAAGACCCACTGAAAGGAAGTGACCTCTTCCATTTAAGGATTAAGATATGGAACGCAGTCAGGAAACCCTTTCAGTTCTTTAGGGGAGTGGTCAAGGAAGGAATCTGGTAGTTTAGTTGAAGATTAAGTGACTATTCTAGAATGTTGAACCCCCACCCCCAACAAAAGCCCTGTTTTAATATTGTGACCTTTTCCTTGTTCAAGATTGCTATAAATGTTACCTCAAAATTGTTTTGGGGTAGAGATATGTCCTGGGGGCTGTGTCAGTTTGGACATTTTTCTCTCTAGGATAGAAGTACTAGGATTTAGAATGCTGTTTAATAAAATTGTTTCTGACAGACTTGTGCCTAAAATACAAAGTATAATGTTGGTATTTTCTTTATGCCTACACCAGGAGCATCAAACTCAGATAGAAGCAGATCCCCAAAGGCCTCATAGTGATTTAGAAAGAATCAAATTAACATTATTTACATTGTATTATATTTTTATTTAAATCATTTCCTGATTTTAATTTAGTTGAGGCAGTTTTGCAGGCCCTATGCTGCCTGAGGATCTCAGGACAAGAATGTAATACATCTGTTCTACAGCACCAATATGAAGATTATAGAAGATCCTTCAGTCAGCTCAAACTTTACTCAACATTGGAGAATTTACACTGGAGAGATTCTCTGAATTCCATGAAAGTGGGAAAGCCTTCAGTGTGAGGAGGACCCTTATCCTGCAACCAGAGAATTCCTCCTGGTGGGTGGAATACACCCTATAAATGTATTGAATATTGGAGTGGCTTATTATTGAGGGAAAGGTCTCAGTTGACATCACCAAGTTCCTCCTAAACAGAAACTCTGTGAATGCATTGAATATAGAAAGGCAGAGATCAAGCATTAGTGATTGCATGTTGGAGGGCATTTCTTCAGATCTAAGGCATAGAGGTAAGGAGTAACTGGTTATGTCTAGCTTCCTTTCACTTCAAAACTTCAAGAAATGTGCCTATCGAAGTAAAAGAAAGAAATTCTCACAAAGAAAACCTTGCATATACTTGTCATGAGTAAATGTAAAAGGACTCCTAGTATAATACAAGAAGGTTGTTTCACAGAAGTCTCACTTTATCTGAAGGCCACTGTAGTAACATAGAGGAAGAAATTCTCTTTGAGGAAGGGAAGGATGGGGGAGAAAGTGACAACCATCTCTGGAAATCAGAGTGCTGCTGCTGAAAAACAGTCATTTATCCGAGTTAAGTTAGGAAAGTGGAATGTCACTATTATTTCATTAAATCTGGTTTGGCGAGGCAAGTTAGAGGAGGGAAGTGGCTTCAGTCAAGTGAAAACCTTCAGATACCTAGGCTCAGCGGATAGAGCAGTGGGTCTGGAGTCAAGAAGATTCATCTTCCTGAGTTCAAATCTGGCCTCAGACACTTACCAGCTGTGTGAACCTGGGCGTGTCATTTAACCCTGTTTGCCTCTGTTTCTCATCTGTAAAATGAGCTGGAGAAGGAAATGGCAGACCATTCCAGTATCTTTACCAAGAAAATCCCAAATGGGATCACAGAGAGTCTGACATGATTAAAAATGGCAGAACAACAACAACAGAAAGGATTCTGTTTGTTTTTGAGGAGGCAACTGAGGTTAAGTGACTTGCCCAGAGTCACACAGCCAGTAAGTGTCCTGTGTCTGAGGCCTGATTTGAACTCGGGTCCTCCTGACTATCCACTGTGCTGCATCACCTAGCTGCCCCTGGGTTTATTCTTTAAAAAGCGATGTCCTATGATCTGGATCTAGGTTAGGATGAGAAGTTGTGGAGGATACACCATTGAAATTTGTGCTAAGTCAGTCTGGGTGACTCCACTTTAAAACCTTGTTTAAAATTTCTCTCCTGCATAAGATGGTGGTCACAGATTGAATCCATGCTGGTCCACCAACTGGTGCTGCCTTGGTATGTTATTAGACTCTCTTTTAACTTTCTCTTTAAACAGGATGAATCTGTAATGAAGATTTTTTTTTCCTTTTAACTATATGAAGACTGGATTGTTTCAAGCACAAGCTGTAGGTACCAAGTGCTGTTTCTTTTTCCCCCAAAAAGAGGAATATAACAAAATTTAGTGGAATTAACAATAACTTTGAATATTTTAAAAATATTTTCCAAATACATGTAAAAACAATTTTTAACATTCTTTTTAAAATTAATTTTAGAATAACTTGGAAGGATTAATGGGCTTTGATATCTAAAATCTATAGGGAATTGAAAGCAAGCTGCAAGATTAAGTCATTCTCTAAAGACAAATGATCAAAGGATATGAACAGTTTACCAAAGAAGTACTTCAAACTAACAGTAATCATTCGAAAATTTGAAATGATTAACAGAAATGCAACTGGATTCACCTCACATCCCTCTAGGTAAAAGATGGGAAGAGTAGATATCTGAGGGGTATAAAAGGACAAGCATGTTAGTCACTGCTGAATTAGCATTGAACTGGTCCAACAATTCTGGAAAAGAATTTGGAATTAATGTGAGAAAAGTTCAAAAAAAGTTCATACATTTTGATCCAAAGATTCCATTTCAGTGTTTGTAACCCAAGGAGACCAATGACAACAAAAAATGAAATAAAATAAAAACAAATAACTAAACTTATATTCATTTCAACAGAAAAATCCATTTTACAGAGGCATTAATCACCGCATTATTGGTAGCAAAGCAAAATATGTGCTTAACAAGTGCAGAATGGCTGTATAAAGTAGCATATACGTGTTTGAGAATATTATTGTACCATGAGAAATTCGGAGGAACATGGGAAGGCAACTAGGAGGTGCTATAGTAGACAGAGCACTGGACCTGCAGTCAGGAAGACCTGAGTTTAAATCCTGACCTCAGACATTTCCTAGCTGGGTGACCCTGGGCACTTATTAAATGCTTATTCCCTTCTCCCTTCCCTTCATATTGGAACTGCCCATCACAGGATGGCTAATCTCTGACCTGAGCTCAGAAAACAGAAAAAGGCAGCCAGAACCCCCCCTCTCAGCCTCACCAGAGTAAGCACACATCACTTGCCCTATCAACGAAGATCACAGGTGGAACCATCTGTGCCATATTGTCTTAGAGAGCTGCCTAAAGCTGAGAGAAATTAAGTGAATTGTCCATGATCATACAACTAGTAAGGGTCCCAGGCAGAATTTAAACCCAGATCTTCCTGGCTTTAAATTCAGCACTCAGAGCTATGCCACATTTATTCTTAATATGAATATATTGACAACTAAGAAGAGTGTAGGGAAACATTGGTTGAATTGTATGAAGTGATAAAGTGTGGACTGCAGAGCCAAAATAATAGTACACAGGATAGTAATAAAGGACAGTGAAATTCATTGAACTACCAGAAAGCCATCACCAAAAAAAGGAGCCCAGACATTATATTTTAAGAAATCATTAAAAAAAAAAACCCCTAGCTTGATCTTTAGGAACAAGATGGCAAAGTGGAAATAGAAAGAATCCATTGGTCACCTCCTGAAAGAAACAGCAAAAAGAAAAGTCATGGCAACATTATAGCCAAAATCCAGTTTCTACATCAAAGGAAAATACTACAAGCGTTCAGAAGGAAAGAATTCAAGTCCTGAGGAGTCACAATCAGGAGGATACAAGATTTATCAGCCACTGTTTTGAAGGAGTGGAGATCTTGGAACATGATACTCCAGAAAACAAAGCATATGGACTTGCTGCCAGAAACAATTTGCCCAACAAAACATTTGAATATAATCCTACAAGGGAAAAAATGAATTTTTAATGAGAGGACTTCCAAGCATTCCTGACAAAAAGACCAGCACTCCAAAAAAGACTTAAAGTGGAAATATGGGAATCAAGAGAAAAACAAACAGATAAATACAAATGAACCATCATAAAGGCCTACACAAGGACAAAGCTGTTCACATTTTAATATGAGATGATAATGTGTCCCCTCTGAACCCTGTCATTCTTGAGTAGAGAGCCTGGGAATGGTTCTGCTATGTCTTGATCTTTTCTTTTTCTTTTCCTTTCTTTCTTTCTTTCTTTCTTTCTTTCTTTCTTTCTTTCTTTCTTTCTTTCTTTCTTTCTTTCTTTCTTTTTTTTGCCTAGGCAACAGGGTTAAGTGACTTGCCCAGGGTCACACAGCTAGTAAGTGTTATGTGTCTGAGGCTGGATTTGAACTCAGGTCCTCCTGAATCCAGGGCTAGTACTCTCTCCACTGCGCCATCTAGCTACCCCAATCTTTTTTTTTCAATGTTCTTAAAAGAATAGAAAAGGAAAGGAAGAGGAGGACACTAGGGCAGGAGAAAGGAAGAAGGTTAGGGAAAATTATCTCACATCACAGTTCATGAGCAGAAGTCTAAACAAATGAAAAGATGGAGAGTGGCTGACCCTTGAACTTTACTATCATCTGAACTAGTCACAGATGAATACAGAAATACATTTCACCTATCAGAGAACTAAAAGGAAAAGGTGAGAAGGAAGAGGAAAAAATAAGAAAGAAGAGGGATTAATGGGGGAATTAGTCCTTTGCAAAATAATAACAATAATAGCACTTTCATATAGCACTTTAAGGTTTTCAAAGTCATTTACAAATATCTCATTTTAACCTCAGAACAACCCTGGGAAATAGGTGCTATTATCATCCTCATTTTATAGATGAGGGAACTGAGGCAGACAGTGGTCAGGTGACCTACCCAAGTAGTAAGCATCTGATTCAAGATTTGAACTCAGGTCTTCCTAACTCGAGGTCCAGGGCTCTATCCACTGTACCATTTGGCTGCCTCTGCTTTGTATGCAAAAACAAACAAAAACCAACCCTAATGTATTAAAATATTTATAGCTCCTTTTTCAGTAGCAAAGAATTGGAAATTTAGAGGATGTCCAGTTGGGGAATGACTGAACACGTTAGGGCATATAAATGTTATGGAATACTATCATGTTAGAAGAAATGATGAAAGGAGTGGTTTCAGAGAAACCTGGGAAGACTTTATAAACTAATGCAGTGAAGTGAGCAGAACCATAATTTATATGACAACAACATTGTAGAACAAACAACTTTAAAGAATTAAAAATGCTGATTGGTGTAATGACTAATCATGACCCTAGAGTACTCATGATAAAACCTGCTACCCATCTCTTGATAAGTGATGGACTCATAGTGCAGAGTGAGACATATTTTTGGAGGCAGATGGCCAATGCAGGAATGTTTTGCTTAACGATACGTATGTGTAATAGGGGTTTTGTTTCCTTCTCTTTCTCACTGGGGGTGGGGATGGAAAAGTAGGTGGATTTTTGCTAATTAGAAATAATTCCATAAGACCTCATTCTACTGGGGAGACATATACACAAAATCACAGGTAATTTTGGCAGCCCAGGAATCAGGAAAGGTCTCATGTAGGTGGTGGCATTTGAGCTGAGTTTTAAAAGAAACTAAGGATTCCAAGAAGTGGAAGTGGAGGTACAAATAGTGGAACTGAAATGTCATTGGTAAAGAAAGGTAAGAAGGCTGATTTGACTAGATAATAGAGTACACAAAGGGGAAGAATGTATAATAAGACTGGAATGGTAAACTTGAGTTTTCTTGAGCCAAGAAAACTTGACAAGGGGTTAGATATGCGGTAAGAGGGTGAGGAGTCGAGGATGATTTGAAGGTTGCAAACCTGGGTGACCAGAAGGATACTGGGGCCCTTGTCAGAAAGATGACATTTCAGAATAAAGGTGGGTTGGGGGCAGGGACAAAATGAGCAAGATGTGGACTTCATCGGTCCAAGTGCTTTTTGATCATAAAATGTTATCAAATGAGTGTAACTTGTAATTCAGCTCCCCAGTTCTGAAGACTGCACATAAAGGAATGCCATGAACTAGAGGTGAGAGGGGAAGAAGGAAACTTCATTGAGGTCCTCTGATAATAGGTGGTAATAAGAGAACAGATGAAAGATTTGAAGCAGTCTGTGGACTGGCCTTGTGCATGTCTGATTCCTCAGGCACAGAACCTATTTTGGGGCCCCTAAAAAAGGCCTGAAGATTCATGGATTAAAAATTTCCTCTTAGAGGTTCTGCCTTCCTCCTCTTAGGAAGTCCCAATTCCTGAGCCCATGGGAATGTGGTAGATGGTATTGGAACACTTTTTTTTTTAATTTTCCAAAGGAGAGATTTATTTGAGCAACACAGAGAAACACAAGACTAGGTTTGAAAAAGGGTAGATTTATTGACAAATGTGGATAAAGGAGGAGTCAGGTATGTGGGGATGTTTGCAGGTCCAAACACAACCTATCCCTTCTTCCGCTCATTTCCCTTCAAAATTGTGCTGCCTTGGAT